GACCTCTCTCCGCCTTTGACCTCACCTGCTTTCTCAGCCCATCCCTACTTCCCTTGGATAAATGCTAGTTCACCTCTACAGTTCTAGCTGGCTGCTTCTGTCCTTCAGGAGCCTACAGGCACTGTCTCCTAACTTATCTAGTTTTTTTGGGTTTTTTTTTTGTTTTTTTTGTTTTTTTGAGACGGAGTCTTGCTTTGTTGCCCAGGCTGGAGTTCAGTGGCGCGACCTCGGCTCATGGCAACCTCCGCCTCCTGGGTTCAAGCAATTATCCTGACTCAGCCTTCTGAATAGCTGGGATTACAGGTGCACACCACCACACCCGGCTAATTTTTGTAATTTTAGTAGAGACAGGGTTTCACGGTGTTGGTCAGGCTGGTCTCAAACTCCTGACCTCAAGTGATCTGCCCACCTTGGCCTCCCAAAGTACTGGGATTACAGTCTTGAGCCACCGCGCCTGGCTTTTTTTTTCTTCTTCTTCTTCTTAGAGACAGGGTCTCACTCTGACGCCCAGGCTGGAGTGCAGTGGTGCGATCTCACCTCACTGCAGCCTTGACCTCCCGGGGCTCAGATGATACTCCCACCTCAGCCTCCCAGATACAAGCGCACACCACCACACTTGGCTAAATTTTTTTGTATTTTTGTAGAGAGGGTGGTTTTGCCATGTTACCCAGGCTGTTCTCAAACTCCTGGGCTCAAGTGATCCACCCACTTCCACCTCCCAAATCGCTGGGATTACAGGCGTGAGCCACTGTCCCCAGCCTTAACTGCCCTTTCTCCCCACCCCAACTGGCCTTCAGGTCATCTTTGGCTGTCCCTCATTTTAGCTATATGCAACTGACCTCCCTGCTCACCTTCCTATCCGCAGGCATTCCCAACTGCCCCCTCCTTCCCTGTCACCAGTTGACCATTATGTCCACACTTAACTTTTAAAAATTTATTTACTTTTGAGACAGAGTTTCACTCTTGTTGCCCAGGCTGGAGTGCAATGGCATGATCTCTACTCACCACAACCTCTGCCTCCCCGATTCAAGCGATTCTCCTGCCTCAGCCTCCTGAGTAGCTGGAATTACAGACACCCACCACCACCCAGCTAATTTTTGTATTTTTTAGTAGAGAGAGGGTTTCTCCATGTTGGTCAGACTGGTCTCGAACTCCCAACCTCAGGTGATCCACCCACCTCGGCCTCCCAGAGTGCTGGGATTACAGGCATGAGCCACCACACCCAACCAACTTTTTTTTTAAAATAGAGATGATGTCTCTCTGTGTTGCCCAGGCTGGTCTCCAACTCCTGAGGTCAGGCAATTCTCACGCCCCGGCCCCTCAAAGTGCTGGGATTACAGGTGTGAGTCCACACACTTAACTTTCACTAACCACTCATAGTTGATTCATTGAGAACCCTCAATTCTGTCACTTCTCTTACCCCCAAATGCCTCCGCCCCATCCAATCTCCACTGTCATTATTTTTCAATTTCATTGTTCCATATTGCCAGTTGTCACTTAACTGCCATCTGTAAATTTGACTTATTTTGCACATTTAGCTTCAGAAGATCTGCTTTCTCCTTTATCTTTTTACTATATCCACTTTTCCTGTGCTCACTGTCTTCAACCTAATGTTCAATTAATAGTCCAGCACTACAAATACCTTTTCCTTTTTTTTTTCTTTTTTTTTGAGACAGAGTCTTGCTCTGTTGCCAGACTGGAGTGCACTGGTGCAATTTCAGCTCACTGCAACTTCCTACTCCCTGGTTCAAACGATTCTTCTGCCTCAGCCTCCCGAGTAGCTGGGATTAGAGGCATGTGCCACCATGCCCAGCTAATTTTGTATTTTTAGTAGAGATGGGGTTTCTCCATGTTGGTCAGACTGGTCTCGAACTCCCGACCTCAGGTGATCCGCCTACCTTGGCCTCCCAAAGGGCTGGGATTACAGGCGTAAGCCACCGTGCCCAGCCGCTACAAATACCTTTTAAGCTCTCTCTTTTTTTCAGCATCCATATGTTCTTTTTCCAGTCTCTAGATCTGCTACTGGTCTCATCCCTACAGACATTATATGAATGAATGTCTTTTTTTTTTTTTTTTTGAGACGGAGTCTTGCCCTGTCCCACAGGCTAGAGTACAGTGGCATGATCTCAGCTCACTGCAACCTCCGCCTCCCAGGTTCAAGCGATTCTCCTGCCTCAGCCTTGTGGGTAGCTGAGATTACAGGCGCACACCACCACGCCCTACTAATTTTTGTATTTTTAGTAGAGATGGGGTTTCACCATATTGGCCGGGCTGGTCTCGAACTCCTGACCTCATGATCCGCCTGCCTTGGCCTCCCAAAGTGCTGGGATTACAGGTGTGAGCCACCATGCCCAGCTGGAATGAATTACTTCTTTTCCATTATCCTCCCAGCACCAAAAAGGAAACTAGCTACCCAGCCCAGTCCAGTCATGCAGGTGCAGGATGATGGAGGCAACCTCATCCCCTTTGCCAAGTGAGTCCTCCCACTGGGTGGGGAGCATGGGGAGGGGATGGAGGGAATATTGCATGCCTGGGTCCTTCCCTAAGAGGATTAGGAAATAAAGAACAGGAAATGCAAAGCCTGGTCTCAGGGGATTGATGATTCATTAATTTATTCAACAAATAGTTTGAACACTACAGTGTTCCAGGGACTGTATTAGGCACTGGGGATTCAGCAATTAGCAGGATAGAGGTCCTGCTCTTGTAGAGCTTACATTCTAGAGAGGGGAACACATTCTAGAATGTGTAAACAAATAAAATTTCAGCTAATGATGGGTACTATTTAAAACATAAAACACAGGGCCAGGTGTGGTGGCTGACTCCTGTAATCCCAGCACTTTGGGAGGCCAAGGCGGGCGGATCACCTGAGATCAGGAGTTCAAGACCAGCCTGGCCAACATGGCAAAACCGCATCTCTACTAGAAATACAAAAATTAGCCAGGCACGGTGGTGCTCGCCTGTAATCCCAGCTACTCGGGAGGCTGAGGCACGAGAATCGCTTGAACCTGGGAGGCGGAGGTTGCTGTGAGCCAAGATCGTGCTATTGTACTTCAGCCTGGGCGACAAAAGCGAAACGCCATCTCAAATAAATAAATAAATAAATAAATAAATAAAATTATGAAATTTTTTGTGAATTTTTTTTTCTTTGTGAGACAGAGTCTCGCTCCGTCCCTCAGGCTGGAGTGCAGTGGCGCCATCTTGGCTCACTGCAAGCTCCGCCTCCCGGGTTCCCACCATTCTCCTGCTTCAGCCTCCTGAGTAGCTGGGACTACAGGCACCTGCCACCGCGCCCAGCTAATTTTTTGTATTTTTAATAGAGACGGGGTTTCACCGGTCTCTATCTCCTGACCTTGTGATCCGCCCGCCTCGACCTCCCAAAGTGCTGGGATTACAGGCGTGAGCCACCGCGCCTGGCCTTTTTTTCTTTTTTGAGACGGAGTTTCTCCCCTGTCGCCCAGGCTGGAGTACTATGGCGCGATCTTGGCTCACTGCAACCTCCACCCTCTGGCAGGATTCTCCTGCCTCAGCCTCCCAAGTAGCTGAGATTACAGGTGCCTGCCACCACGCCTGGCTAATTTTTTGTAATTTTAGTAGAGACGGGGCTTCAACATGTTGGCCAGGCTGATCTTGGACTTCAGACCTCAAGTGATCCACTCACACTGGCCTCCCAAAGTGTTGGGATTACAGGCGTGAGTCATCACGCCCGGCCAGTGTTCGTGTACTTTATGTGTGGCCCAAGACAATTTTTCTTCTTCCATTGTGGCCTAGAAAGCCAAAAGATTGGATATCCCTGGTATAGAGCTTAGACTCAGTGAGATCTGAGGGTCAAACTACAGCCAATCTCCACCCTCAACCCAGCTTCAATTTCCTTTCAAGGCAGAGGCCTTACCACCTTCTTCAGCTAAAGTGGTTAAGAGAGGACACGGCCTGAGGGAACCTGGGCAGCTTTATAGTCCCATGGAAAGATGGCCCTTGAATCCTTCGGGTGAGTAGATTGCTGTAAGGGAAGAGCCAGACCTGAGCCTACCTTGTCCTCCCCTCAGGTGTTCCAGGGTGGTCAGCCGATCTCCACCACCAAGGTTGCCTTCCCAGAGCCTCAGACTCATGCCCCAGCGTTATGGAGATGTCTTCTGGAAGAACCTCAGTCAAAGGCCCAGGTGAGTAGAGGAGAAAATGGATACCAGCTGGATGTGGTCTTAACTGGATTAAACTACCATAAACCCATATAGCAATAGGCCCTAGTCTGGGGTTAATTTCCCACTGGCTGGTGGACATTGTAGCTCCTAATGACAGAAAGGAGGTTGGGAGAGATTATCAAAGAAGCAATATGGATGGACGTGTCCCCTCTGCACTTATAGCCCCCTTTTTGTTCTTCACAGCCTCACTTGGCTGGAGGAGCAGCACATTCCACCCATGCTGGTAAGACAGACCCTCTGCCTTCAACAGTTCTCTGTTAAAATTGCACCCACTGCTATCCTGTCCCAAGCTCTCCTCATCACCGCTTCCCTATGGTATTCCCCAACCAGTGCACTTCCTTTCTATGAATCAGTCATCATGTTTTTGAGATATCACAGGGGTCTTCCTAAGACCCCGGACTCCCTACCTAGTTCAATCCAAGCTCTCTTGAGAGAGCCAGTTCTTTTTTCTAGCTCTTTTTCCCCATTCTCTGGCACAGAGAGCCACTGGTTGCTCCCAGCTTGGTCTGTATCCTCCTGAGCAGCTCCCACCCCCTGAAATGCTTTGGAGAAGAAAGAAGAGGAGGCCATGTTTGGAAAGAATGCAGCAGCAGGGGCTTGGGGGTGTCCCCGCCCGGGTGAGAGCTGTCACTTACCACCTGGAGGACCTAAGAAGGCGTCAGAGCATCATCAATGAGTAAGGAAGGGAGACATCTAGGTTCTGGCAGTCATGCAGGATTTGGGGACGGAACAGTTTGAGCTAAGGAAGGGGTTGAGAGCTTTGAGGGGAGCTTTGAGGGGAGCTTTGAGGGGAGACTGCTTGGGAGGAAGCTGTGGGCTTTGGTGTGATTGAAATAGATTTCTGTAATATGAAAAGGAGGAGGGAATTGCGGTAAGGAGGATGAGCCGCTTGAGCTGGAAGGAGTAGAAACTGGATCACTGAAGACAGGAAAGCAAACCATAGAACTGGAGGACAGTGGGGAGGCTGGGGTCGCCTCTGGGTTCCTAGACAATATGCTTCAGTCTGAGGGTAGCAGAAAATTGGGAGTGGAGAGTTAGAGGTCAAATGACAACTCCCTGGAGTCCCAGCAGGAAGTATTTCAGAACAGAAAGGTGAAGAATGGAGAGACAGGAAGCCTGGCCTCCAGGTACTTCTCTCCTCAGCCTAAAGTCTCCACAGACTGAAGAAGGCCCAGTGGGGCAGCTCTGGGGCTGCATCTGAGCCAGTGGTGCTTGACGAAGACGGCTGTGGATTTCCCAGCACCAATGAATACCCTGATCTGGAAGAGGAGAGGGCAACCTATCCACAGGAAGAGAACAGTTTTCTCACTCCTGGCAGGGCCCAGGTATTGTTGGAGTGGAACTGGGTGGAGTGAGAGGGAGTGACGTGGGTTTCTGGTCTTGCGTGGAGATGCAGTAGAAGCTGAGAGCCAGGTTGGAGAACTGGATTTGAGAGGAACAAAAATAAGGTAGCCGAGAGCCAGAGACTTTGAGGTACCTAAGCTTGGGTACTAGGAAATCTGGAAAAAAAGACCTACTTTTCCATTCTCTTTTTCAATTTCTCTCATCTTTACAGCTGCTTTGGTCTCCCTGGAGTCCCCTGGGTCAGGAGGCGGCTTGTGCCTCCAGGCAGCTGCACACTCTGGCCTCCTTCAGCACTGTCACAGCCAGGAGGAACCCCCTTCACAATCCCTGGGGGATGCAGTTGGCAGCGTCTGAAGAGTAAAGAGAAATCACTGATGCTGAGATACTGGTGGTGCCCCAGGGACCCAAGACTAGTTCCGTCACTAGAGTCACCCCCATTGCTGACATGAAGGCGTTTCCCCTTCCTTAGCCTCTCCAACTGCCTTTCCCATCCTCTGAACTAGGCATTAACAGCCCCCCTGGGCTCCCAAATCAACCCACCGCTCTCACAGGAGCACCATAAGTCCTGTTTTCCTCCAGGCCCCGCCCCTGGCCTTGTGTTCTCTCTGCTCTGTTATTAAAAAGCAAGCAAGTGGAGCCCGAGTTGTCTTTCTTCTTGGGATGCAGCGATGGAGAGGCCAATGGGGAAGGAGGGCTCCTTTCGCTTTCTCGAGGACTCAGCTACAATGAAGTCGGGCTGGGTCCCCAAATTCAAGGAGTCTTCTCCGAGGCGAGAAGGGTCCTGCTCCCAGTCCTGTGTTCCTCTCCCGGCCCCTCGGGTTCCAGCACCGGTCGGCCGCCCCTGCCCCGTTCTCTCGGACTGGGAGTCCGTCGGCCGAGCTTCCGCCTCCAGGACCCTGGAATCCTGCCCCTCAGCGCTGCTGCCTTTTTGGGGACTTCCCAGTAGTATGTCCCTCGGCCTGGCTCAGAGCTTCAGAAGCCGAGTCCCTCTGCCCAGCGCCCCACCCAGAACCCCACGCGTGCTGCCCCGAGGTTCCCTTCCTGACCCCCATCCCCTTAATTGGGAAGCCCCGCCCCGTGCGCAGTGACGTCGGACGCCGCTGTCAGCCGGCGCTGGGGGGGGGGTCGGTGTGGGGTAGAATGGCCGCTGCCGCCGTCACCCGCGGGACCCCGGGAGGTAAGAGCCAGGGCCTCCCGCCCGCCTCTCCGCCCCCGCGCCAGGGGGCGCAGCTCCTCCAGGCCCTGACGCGGAGCGCCGCGCCGGGGACCACCGTCCCTCCTCCCCGTTCGCCCTCACCTCCCGCTTCCGTCCTCCTCCCCCGCGCCAGGGGGCGCCGCTCATCGCAGGGCCCCACGGCAGACCAGCGCGTGCCGGGGACTGTCCCGGAGACCCCCGCACCCGGCACCCGCACTGTCCCTCGCCCACCGCGTGCCCGCGGACTCTGCTCCCGGCTTCTCCAGAACATCCCTCTATGCGGGCGGGACCCTCCCACCTCGAAGGTTCTCCTGGGACCACCACTCCGCCGGGGGGCCGCCCAGAGTGCAAAGTGTCCGATCCGGCGCCGCCCAAGTGCGGCCCAAGGACCCGCTCCCGCTCCGCACCCTGGCAGACTGCCTTAGCCGGGACTGCGCACCTGCGCCCTGGGGCGGAGTCCTTACCCCAACCCCAGCTTCACTGCACACAGTCGAGCCCGACGGGCCTCCTCCCATCTCCATCCTGGACACCTGGCGGAGCCCGTGCTGAGAGCCTCCTCCAGCTCCCATCTGTTCCCCCAGAAGGGCGGGGGGCTCAGGCTGGAGCCAGAGCGGTAGATGGGGTAGGCTAGGCCTGGAGGCCAGGGGAGGCAGAGGCGTTTGGGGAGAGGGAGGTAGAGAGGGCTGTCAGCTGGAGGGCGGGTGGTCCTGAGAGTGGGAATCTGGGTGTCTGGCCCAGATTCTATCAGGTCCTAACCAACCTGGAGGAGAGAATAGGTTAGGCTCAGTTATCAGATCTGCCCTTCCCCCTTGGAAAAATCAAATAGAGAAGGAACTCAGGGCGTGTCTTCTAAAGGCCTAGCTCTCTACCGGAGGTAGAATCTCCTGCCCTGCCCCCAGGATCCTGGCTGTCTCGCCAAACCATCCTCCAAGGACCGGATGGCCTGAGTCCCAACCCCCAGGACCTGACCCAGTCATAGCCCCAGTCTGTGCAAAACCTCAAGCTTTAGGGCCTCTGAGGCCCCAGACCTGCCTGTCTTCTCCCCTCCCCCACCCCAACCCATTTCTTCCTGCTCACTCTTTCTGTCCAGTCTCCTCACTCATATTGACTCCGGGCACCGTGTCTGGTTCTCCCTTCTACTGTCACATCACAGTCAGCCCCTCCCTCCCTTTCCTCATCCTTCCCAGATACTATGGCCCAGTTCTATACTCACTCCCCACCTCATACTTCTCATCCTGGATTAATGTGGGGGCTTCTGCCATGACCTTGTTCTCTCCCTTCCCAGCACAGACTCCCCCTCCCCCCGGCCCCTCAGGCCGGGGGTGACCTTGCCCCCCGGAACCCTCACCATGAATACCAAGGATACCACCGAGGTTGCTGGTAAGTTCACAAAGCAGGTTCCCAATGTGGCCACAGCCTTTCGTTCTCCCCATGCCTTAGTAGCCCTCTAATTCTTGGATTCCTAGTTCTCCTTAGTGAGGTTTCAGTTCTCCCCAGTGCTCTGCATTGCCTTCAGCCCTTTCCCCTTGGACAGGGATGCCCCGGGGTAGCACACTAAACCCTCCCTTCTAATTCCCTTTAGAAAACAGCCACCACCTGAAGATCTTTCTCCCCAAGAAGCTGCTGGAGTGTCTTCCTCGCTGCCCGCTGCTGCCTCCAGAGAGGCTACGGTGGAATACAAATGAGGTTTTCTAGGGAGGCTGGGGGTTGGGGCCCAGCAAGACCTAGTAGGCTGGAGGAGGGTGAGTGGGGGGTCTTTCTGTGTCTCTCGACACTCTTAACTGCAGAGCACCATTCTGAGCTCTTTGGGGATCATAGGAGAGGTATAAAGAACATGGATCTTGGCCGGGCGCGGTGGCTCACGCCTGTAATCCCAGCACTTTGGGAGGCTGAGGCGGGTGGATCACCTGAGGTCAGGAGTTCAAGACCAGCCTGGCCAACATGGTGGAACCTGTCTTTACTAAAATTACAAAAAATCAGCCAGGCGTGGTGATGTGCGCCTGTATTCCCAGCTACTCGGGAGGCTGAGGCAGGAGAATCACTTGAGCCAGGGAGGCGGAGGCTGCAGTGAGCCGAGATCGCGCCACTGCACTCCAGCCTGGGCGACAGAGCAAGACTCTCTCTCAAAAAAAAAAAAAAAAAAGACATGGATCTTGTAGGAGCCCTCTTTTCCATGGCATAGCCCCCTGGGTAAAAACAAAGGCTACTGCCAATAAAATATTCCTTACATACTGGGCACTGTGCTGAACACTTGGCCTGCTTTGTCTCGTTTAATCCTCTAAGGATGCTACAGAGCAAGCCCTGTTGTTGCTCCTATGTTATTGATGAGGAAACTGATTTACCTCATAGTTTATCTTGGATTCCTTGTTCTCCTTAGTGAGGTTTCA